GTGTGGGGCAAGGGGTAGGTGTGTGGGGAATGGGGGGCCTCAAGCAGCCCCTCGTAGACTAGAACTCTTCCAACCTGCAAGGGAAAAGCCAGAGTTTCCCATGTTTTTCTCCTTTAAAGTAAAATCCATTTTTAAAGCTTGCTGACCCCTTTTTAAAGTTTATTTGTGACCCTTTCATAGATTCTTGTGACTGAGTTTGGGTCATAACTCACGGGTTGAGCAACACTGATCTAGATGACAAATATGCATTTCTCTACTTCCCAAAAAGACACTGAAATCTTCTTCTTAGCTGTGAGATAAGCACTCCTGAACTTTTTTTTAATGAAAGAAAAGACCTTGTCAGTCACCAGCTGGACACACTAGGTCCTTTAATTTCTAAATGCCACCATCATCCAGGACTTTGTAAATTTGAGGGTAGGTTACTGCAGTGTGCTCTGTGTGGGGCTGACCTTGAAGATGATCTGGGAGCTGCAGCTAGTGCAAAACGTAGCAGCCTGTCTTCTAACAGGGATGGGTTACCAGGAGCATGTAACTTCAGCTCTCCAGAATCTGCATTGGCTTCCATTAGCTTTCCCCATACAGTTCAAGGTGTTGAGTTTGGCCTATAAGGCCCTAAATGATGCAAGTTCTACATACCTAAGAGACTGCCTCCTGCCTTCTGTTGTACTGAGGCCCCTAAGATCCTGGTAGGAAAGGTGGATCTGGGAAAAGTGCAAGAGCAGCTTTTCTCTTGGCAAGATAGTGTTTGTCCAAAGAAGGGAGCTGAGACACATCTTAAAAAACCCCATTGTCATCTCCTCCCCAGAGCCCCATGCTCCAGATTCGGAGACCCAGCTGGGCTGCAACTCTGAAGAAGACAGAGCAGCAGTGAAGCCAGTCATGGGGACATCTGGAGTCCTGACACCCCTCCAGCAAGAAGATTTAATGGATGCACTGAAGGATGATGCTGCAGAGGTCCCAGACATGAGCAACCTCCCAGGGCTGACTCTAGAGAGTGCAGATCCACAATCTTCCCCCAACAGAGAACTCCTTGCAGTAGTGAGTTTTTGGGCTAATTGGTTGATGGCCCTGATGAAGGGACTGATGCAGCAGAACAGTCACCCATGTCAGCTTGATGTCTCTTTTACATGCGTGAGAAGGAAGAGTCAACAAGAATATCTACAAAAAGCCACATGTGAAGCTTCAGAAAATCCAGCAGAAGCTCAAGAAGCCAAAACAGGAGAGCAGGGAGGAGACCTGGGAGAAAGCTTTGAGGAACTGCAGCCTGTAGCCCAGGACGATGCCGAGGATGATTACGTAATAATAAACAGAGTTAAGTATGCATGTAATAACACTTGGTACCATGGGACTGAGACCTGAGTCACACAAGGGGGTCAGGATCTGGTTGTAAAGAAAAAGGACCTGGTTCAAAGGGAAACTGTACGCCCTTAAGAAGGACTTGGGCAGGAATGGGGTATTTAACTCATTAGAGGCCTAGGTCCATTAGGTGCCTCCATCTTGTCCTGAGATGGAAGTGCAGCACTTAGCCATAAGCTGCACGGCATGCCTAGGTCAGTCTTTTTGCTGCTGAACTTCTGTTTCAATCCAAATTCCTTGGGGCTAATTCCCATTTTACCCCCTGCATATAGCTGAGGGTGAGGTCCTGACATAACCTGAATCAGGGTGGCATCCAGCTTCATCTTTAGAGATGGCCCCAGTTAGCACAAAGTGATGAGCCTGGAGCAAATCATAGATTTGGAGAAGGCCTGGGGATACAGGTGGATAGGACCGAGGTGGGGCATGTGGACAAGTACAGGTCTCTGCACAACAGGTGTCAAACTCTTTGAAACCCTTTTGCAGCACCCTTGGTGTCATGACTCTCAGGTTGAGGGCTCCTGGTCTCAGCAATCATGTGATGCTTCCCTCTTATGTGTTCTCTACAGACTTGAACTGGACTGAACTATTTGACAAAGAGAAGGTGCTGAGAATCATCCTTGTTGGCAAAACCGGTGCTGGGAAAAGTGCCACAGGGAACACTCTCCTGGGCCAGCGAGTGTTTGAGTCCAAGCTGGGGGCAAAGCCAGTGACAGAAACTTGTGCAGTGGAAAGCAGGAGCTGGGAAGGGTGGCGGGTTGTGGTCATGGATACTCCTGCCATTTTTGACACCCCAGCCCCTGATGAACAAGTTTCCTGTGAGATCCATCATTGCTTCCTGCTCTCTGCCCCAGGCCCCCATGCTCTGGTGCTGGTCACCCAGCTGGGCCGTTTCACAGAGGAGGATGAGGATGCAGTGAGAAGGGTAAAGAAGATATTTGGAGCTGGGGCCATGAAGTTCACGATTGTCTTGTTCACCCGTAAAGAAGATTTAGGGGATGGTTCCCTGAGGGACTATGTGAGCTATTCAGAGAACAAAGCCCTGCACCACCTGATTCAGGAGTGCGGGGGCCGGTACTGTGCTTTCAACAATAAAGCAACAGGAGCAGAGTGGGAGGCACAGGTCAATGAGCTGATGGGAAAGATTGTCACGATGTGGTGGGAGAACGGGGGCTGCTGTCACCCCAGTGATGTGTATAAAAATGCCCATTTGGAGATGAAACGGCCTCAAGAGGCAACTGGAGAGGAAGGGAGGAGAAAAAATCTGCATGACCCTGTGGAGTGTGGAGAAACAGTGGAAGAATCGAGCACTGGCCCAGAGGCACTACAGGAAAACATTGCATATTTGGATGAGGTGAGAAGGCAAGGTCAGTGAACCAAAGCTGTGAAACTGGAAGAAAAGCTGACAGATAGACAGAACTGTGACCTGGGACGGTCAGGTGGGGCTGAAAGAGTTTGTGCCCTGGATCATGGGAATCATGGCAGGGGGCTCCAGGATCTGGCTGTGCCATTGTTGCAGATATTTATTCAAAGTGATGATGTAAAGTCCTTAATCCAATGGCAGCTGCAGGGCCAGGGAAGGGGTAACCAGGCTGTTGCCACTGACAGTTTCATAGTTTCATAGTTGTTAGGGTTCGAAGGGACCTCAATAGATCATTGTGTCTGACCTCCTGCCCTGGGCAGTAAGGAGTGCTGGGGTTAAGTCACTCTCGCCAGGTGCTTGTCCAGTCTCCTCTTAAAGACCCCCAAGGTAGGGGAGAGCACCACCTCCCTTGAAAGCACATTCCAGATTCTGTCAACCCTTACCATAAAGACATTCTTTCTGATGTCCAACCTAAATCTACTTTCTATCAGCTTGTGGCTGTTGTTCCTGGTTACTTGAAGGGGTGCCCTGATAAACAGAGCATCTCCTATTTCTTGCTGCCCACCGCCCCCTGACCCCCTGATGAATTTGTAAATGGCTATAAGATCTCCTCTCAGCCTTCTCTTGTGGAGGCTGAAGAGATCTAGGTTCCTCAGTCTCTCCTTATAGGGCCTTACTTGTAGGCCTCTGGCCATATGAGTGGCCCTCCTCTGGAACCTCTCAAGGTTGTCCACATCCCTCTTGAAGTTTCATAGTTTCATAGCAGCTAGGGTCGGGAGGGAACTGAACAGATCATCTCGCCTGACCCCCAGCCATCGCCTGACCCCCTGCCACAGGCAGGAATGACTGCTGGGTTCACAAGGCCCCAGACAAGTGATCATGCAATCTCCTCTTGAATTTTCCCAGGGTAGGGGCGTGGACCACTTCCCTGGGAAGTTGGTTCCAGATTGTGGCCACCCTAACTGTAAAATATTGCCTTCTGATCTCCAACCTAAACCTATTCTCCATCAGCTTATGACCATTGTTCCTCGTCACCCCAGGGGGTGCTGGGTGAAGAGGGCTCTGCCTATTTGCTGTTGATCCCCCCTGATGAGCTTGTAGGCAGCCACCAGGTCCCCCCTCAGCCTCCTCTTGCTGAGGCTGAACAGGTTCAGGTCCCTCAGTCTCTCCTCGTAGGGCCTGTCCTGCTTCCCTCTCACCAAGCGGGTGGCCTCCTCTGAACCCTCTCCAGGCTGGACACATCCCTCCTGAAGTGTGGCGCCCAGTTCTGGACGCGGTACTTCAACTGCAGCCTGACCAAAGTCACATAGAGGGGGAGGATCACCTCTCTGGACTGGCTTGAGATGCACCTTTGGATGCATGACAAGGTCTGGCTGGCCTTGCTGGCTGCAGTCTGGCATTGGCGGCTCATGTTCATCTTGGAGTCAATAATGACTCTGAGATCCCTTTCTGCCTCTGTGCTTTCAAGAAGGGAACTCCCCAGCCTGTATGTATGCTGTGGATTCCTTGTCCCAAGGTGCAGCACCCTGCATTTGTCTACATTGAACCCCATCCTATTCTCATCTGCCCACTTGTGTAGTCTGTCTAAATCTAGTTGCAGCCTCTCTCTCCCTTCAAGTGTGCCCACCTCGCCCCACATCTTAGTGTCATCATTCCTATTGATGAATGGTCATCATTCATATTGATGAATGACTGGCTCTTCTGGGATGGGGACAAGACTGGCATGTGTGTGCAGTCCAGTGCACCCCTGTGGTTAGGGAACCCCATGACCTTGAAGCCTTCAACAATTTCCCTGGGGTTATTGAGGCAGATGAAGTTCTTCACTGCAATGCCCTGCAGTAGCTGCCATACCTCACATCCCACCACCATGGCCATGCAGGGTGTCATGCCAAACTGGCTCCTGATGAAACAGTCTGGTTGGGGTGGTCAGTTTCATGATGGCCATGGCCACCTTTTTTTCTGGTGCGATGGGCAATACATGAGAGTTTCCTGTCACTCAATGTATGGCAAGAGCAGAGAGATTATGTGGAAGAATGTCTCCCTGCTCATTCCAAACATCTTGAGCCACTGCTGATCATCCCAAAATGAGAATACAATGCATCCCCACCAGTCAGAGCTGCTTGTGTATGCCCAGAGCTTGCCATCATTGCTCTGTAGGTTCATCCACAAAACCCTGTCACTCTCAAGATCCATGGCTTCCTCTTAGTCCAAACAATTTCCCAGTATAACAAGCCTTTTGAAACTGCTAACCTGCGTTGGTGCCTCAGGACAAGGGTCAGCATAGCATGCATTATTTTCAGTACCTGGATGACTTCATCATTGATTTCTTCAGTTCTTCTAGTTGAACGTCTCCAGGGCATCCAAGATCAGCTGCATCTCCTCACTGATTCCATCAGGAGTCAACAAAACCATCTTGTTATGCAGAGAACAGAGCAACACTTGCTTGCGCTAAGGGACTTGTTTAGATAGGGCTGTTGAATAGGGTCATTAGGGTCCATTGAGGGTCATTAGGGTCCACCCCCCCAGTCCATCTCTTAAACAAAGAGAACATGAAGTGAAACATTCAAGAAAAGGAGAAAACTTTATGTACAAACAAAACAAGGAAACAAAACAAAGAACCATTTTTTAAAAACACTGATGCAAAACTACTATAAATAACTATGGATCATTATACTATAACTGTACTATAACTATACTATGCTATAACTAAACTATAACTTAACTATAACAATAACTAAAGAATCACTATAACAATTCTGTAGTACAACAATTCATACATTATTCTGAGCTGGACAGAGAACTGTTCAGTTGTATTGCGTGGATCCATGCCCAGTGTTGCTGCTGATTGGCACGGTAAGGTGCAGGGGCTGCTGCAGAACTGGGTCTGATGACCACCAGCATAAAATGGTGAGCAGTACACCTGTCAGTACTTGCCAATCCTGCCCGATCTGGGTATGCCTCCTGGGTATGCCTCCTGGACTCATGATGGTTGTTTCAGTGCTGGATGCCCACGATGCTTCCTGCAGCTCAATGGACCTGACTGACCAGTGGTTGCAGCCACTGTTCTCATTCCCTGAGAGCATTCACCAGACTGTCAGTTCGAGCACTGGCTGCAGCCAGCCTTTGGTGCCTGACCATCCTTGGTGGAGGTGTTGGAATCAGAGCTGAAAATCAAGAAAATGAAGAAAATTCATAAATGTGGTAATTAGAATGAATGAATGATGGGTGCTTGCTGCTCTAAAAAGAAATGCTCAGTAAATCCTGCAAGCAAAAAAGAAGCATTCAGTCCAAAATCGGTGCCTGGCCATGGGGTTGGGGGTGGTGGGGTGGTGTATTAGGTCCATATTGACTGTAAACAAGTGAGATCCTGCTTTACACAAGCAGGTGAAAAAAAGTTTCCCTCCCCACTTCACCTCTCAGCCCAGTGTAATCACAGCTGTCATTCCAGGTGACAGGTGACTGACTATAAGGTTCCCCAGGACTTAACATACCTTGTGTGGAGGTTGTGGTCCTTGGTATATCCTCCTGAGAAGAACTGACTGGTGACATGCCTGGGACTCTTCTGCTTTCTTCTCCACTGGAGTGGCTGGATTACCTGTGAGTGGCAGCCAGGGTTGGCAAAGTGGTCTCAGGTGAGGGCACCCCAGAGGCTTTTGTCACTCTCTGTGCATACCTATACAGTACCTCCATTAGTGACTGGAGGTACCTGTAGTGAGCCACATGATACACTGGGGGGCCCTGGCTCTGTGATCATGCAACATCCCTGTGGAATTTTGCCTGCAGCATCTTAGCCTTGACCCAGCACTTCAGTGATATTCTGTTGTGACCCCACTCTGACAATCTCTGGGCAACATCAAGGTAGATGTATCAGTTGGCACGTGGGCTGCAGACAAACTGGTGCATGACATCAGGGTCCCTCAGCACATGCACCAGGCTCTTCATTTCAGTGAAGGTCAAAGTGGACTGAGAACTATGCACTGTTGGCTGCTCGCTTCTGCCATGAACATTAGACATCTCAGCTCAATGAGGGATAACCCAGGGAGCTGTGCACTCAATTTATAGGTCTTCATAATTTCATAGTTGGTAGGGTCGGAAGGGACCTAAGCAGATCATCTAGTTTGACCCCCTGTTTCTATTTCCCCATAAAGACCACCTTCCAAATCGCCGAATCTCTTCCAAATCTTTTCCGAATCAGTTCAGAGGCTCCAGATGGATTCAGAACATTTTAAGCTTCTAGCGATTCAATTCAGGTTCACAGATTTGGCCTCTGAATCAGGGCAAATATTCTCCAAATCGAATTACCCACCGAAGCTTTGCACAGCCCTACTAGCAAACAGGCATGACTACCACCATGCCCCCATTCTCCACCACCACCCCACCCTGATGCTTGTCCCGCTATCCTGTATACCCATCACCAGTCCTGTACACATTATCATGGTGGTGATACTACCATCACCCACTGTCTTCATGCTTCCCTCCCCACACAAACTTCCCTCCACCACACCCACCCCAGTCTCCTCCCCCCTGCCCCAAGCCCTCTGTCAGCCACAACATTGGTACCAGGAGCCAGAGGCAGAAGTGCAGCTGGTGATAAGTTTTCCGTTGTGGGAGGGCTTGGACTTATGGTAAAAGAGGAAAGCATGGAAGTATAGGTTAAGGTATGTTAGAACATGTCAGGCTAACTGCTGTCTCTGTCTTACAATTACCCTCCGGCTGTGCCTCATTTGAGAATGGCTGATGCTGGGATGCTGTTTTTTGATAGGCAGAAGACTTTGAAGGGGGCATTTTAGGTCTTTCATTTTAGTTATTGCTTTCTAGTTGTGGGATAGGTGAGTGGCTATTCAGCAGTGTTTCAGTTTTCACCATTTGTTGGTTTTGAATTAAATTTTTATTTTTGAAAGTTTCTGTTTTCAATCAATGTACACAGTGCTTTAGTGATCTGTGGGGCATCAGTCTTGTGGGTGGTGGATGCTGTTGGTGATGGGGGTGTCCCTTGAGAGGGGG